AACACACCGTAATACACCCCTGTACTTCCTTGAAAGTTTTGCTACGAAGCGCACCCAGACCCTAGTCTATTTGGGGGTTTCCGAAAATAGGGGACCTTAATGTCGTACCCTAAATAGTAGGATCCTTACTATAAGGACCCCAAACTAAGGTACCCTAATTTTCGGAAAGTCCCATTTCGTAAGTCGTAAGGATCTAGTAGAAAACCCTGTGGCTACTCCATGAAAACCCTACCAACACCCTACAGAGCACCAGAAACCCCGATAAAATCATATCAGGCACCATACAACCAGTATCGAACACTATTAAAGCCCCCTAAACCCTAGCCCTAAAACCCTAAACCCTAAACCCTAAAACCCTTAAGCACACAAAAGAAACTTAGGCCTCCAGGACATCGGCTGGCAGCTGATCGGCCAACGAAGCGGAGAAGCGCAACCAAGAGACGAGGCGAACGTAGTGTTGGGTCGGGTCTGCCTGGCTAAGAGGTTCGCGTTTAGGGTTGCCGGGGGTTTTGGGGGATTTTAAGGTGCTTAGAAAGTGCTTAGGGTTCACGCAACTGAATAAGACTATCTACATATATATATATATAGACACACCTAACATTATATCTATATATATATATACATACATACATACATCCATCCATCCATCCATCCATCCATCCATCCATCCATCCAGCCAACCAGCCAGCCAGCCATCCATACATACATACATATGTATGCTTGTATATGTATATATATATACATATGCACACACACTTATATATATATACATATGTACATGTACATATATATATATGTGCATATTTACATATATATATATAGATACATATACACGCATACGGTACATGAATGTGTAGATCTGTACACACACAGACACACAGATGTATACACCATACATACGCACACACACACAATCTAAACTTGCACTTGCTTGTTGTCCATGTATGTCTCCAGCAAGTGTTAGTCGTTGATCTCCGTGCATTGTTGATTATTTGTGCCGGCCCGAGTAGGCGGAGACTCTTGCGATGGCGCAAGGCTTTGGCGTTTGACGGGATCCGAAGGCTTAGCCCCAAAACCCTAGAAACGGTTCTACAACTCTGAATCTCGAACTATAAAGCCATAACTAAACATTGTGTTACACCAAACCCCCTCACTCGCTGTGCGATGGGGCTGCTGCTGCTGCTGCTGCTGCTGCTGCTGCTGCTGAGGTGTGCAGTGTGGAGTCTCGCTCTCCAAGTTTCTGGCTAAAGCGTCTCGGTATCAGAGGAAGGGTCGACTGCTTGCAACCACTGCAAGGAGCTTTAATCACTAAATTAGGGTTTTTGGGGGGGCATTACGCACTAGCAACTACGCGTAGGAATTATAAGAGAATTTTCATAATGACTATTCCGAACCCTACAGTATAGCCCCTGCCACTCCCAAGCCGGGTTTTAGGCTCGAAATTGGGGTTGCAGATTTCGGGCTTTACGGTTTGAGGCTTTGCTTCAGGGTTTTGGGGACTAGAGGGTGCAATGTAGGGACCTTAATCGGATTTTTGGGATTCTACGAAAGTACGGTTCATGTTGAGTAACCCGTAGGCTCCTGAAGTAGGGTTTAGAGCTCAAGGCTTTGAGCCTTAGGAGGCGGACCCTAAACCCCAAATACGTACCTTTTTTAAGGACGCATCTAAAGAAATCATAAGGAACCCTGTATAAACAGGTAGGCTCGTTCATTAGGGTCCAGGTGATTCTTGAAGCCTAAACCTGAATTTAAAGGGACCCTCAACCCTAAACCCCTAAACCCCTAAACCCTAAACCCTAAACCCTAAACCCTAAACCCTAAGCCCTAAACCCTAAACCCTAAACCCTAAACCCCCTAAACCAAAAATTTGAACCCTTAAAACCTTAATTTAAAGGGAAACCCTAAACCCTAATTTGAACCCTTAAAACCTTAGTTTAAAGGGGCGGCCTGGAAGGCTTGGATCTGATGGGACAGCCGCACCAGAGCACCGTGCACCTCTGTCTGCAGCCCAGGAAAAGCCCCAAAAAGGGCCCTCAACCATTAGGATAGGGTTTAGGGTTTAGGGTTTAGGGTTTAGGGTTTAGGATTCAGGGTTTAGGGTTTAGGGTTTAGGGTTTAGAGCCTTAACCATTAGGACAGGGTTTTGAGGGGGTATTCGAGCATAATTACTCGTATATTTAGGAACCCTTAAGAACTAGTATATTAAGGACCTTAAGACTGTTGATACTAATTCTTGTCGAAGTAGGCCGAGTCTGGCTTCCAGAGCATTGAGCCCTAAATCCGCGGCTTACAACTCGAAGACGGAGTCCTTACCCTAAGCCCCAATGGTTTGGGGTTTTAGGGATTCGATTCAGGGTTTAGGGATTTGAGGGTTTAGGGTTTAGGGATTTTCGGGTTTTAGGGTTTAGGGATTTCGGGTTTAGTGTTTAGGGTCTGAACCCTGCCTGGCCCTAGCACAATCTCGGGCCAAGGTTGCGGGGCTCCCCTTCCCATGTTACTCCGTCACTGAACGCCGCTGGGAGATTTAGGAAGACACTGCTGGTCCAGGGGATCACCGACAGGAGTAGCGTTCCCGAGCGAAGGCTCGAAGTTTAGGGTCCAGGCAGGTCAAGGCTCTTTATCAAGTTCTTGAAAGGGATGTATAGTAGGTTTATGAACTTGTGAAGATTCATGGTTTTGTTAAAGGGTTTACGCTGGTTTGCAGTCCAGGGCGTCGGGTTGCAGCATGTTGGTGCAAAGCAGACGCCAGTTATGGCCTCGCAAGACTCGCGAAGTCAGTGCTTTCTTAGTCGGCTCTTCTGTATAAGGATCCTGGATGAGGGGTTGAGCCTGCGATACACCCATTCCCCACCAGACTCTGTGAAATCCAGCGAAACAACGCATAAGACCAAGTAAGACAACTCCCCGAAAAAATCCCTACTGACCCGCAACCGATTACAATTCTCCGATTTCCGAAAATCTTTATTTACCCTGGACCTAAACCTGACAGTGTTTTCTCGCAAGCCCTTAGTCCTCCACTCTCAACCCCGACTTCAGCCGGAAACAGCAGAGCCCTAAACCTAGAACCGCGAGTTGAACTCCCCAAGCTCTGACCCCTAAACCCCCCCCCCCCACCCTAAACCCTCGCGACCCTCAACCCTGAAGCCTGAATTAACCCAGACCTCCTTATCAAATCGTAAAGGCCCTAAGCCCCTTGAAGAAACCAGAACTCCTTATCAAATCGTAAAGGCCCTAAGCCCCTTGAAGAAACCAGAACTCCTTATCAAATCGTAAAGCCCCTAAGCCCCTTGAAGAGTCTTCTCGCTGGTTCGTAGTAAGGAATGGGGGAATGGATCCCTATGATAGCCCCTTAAGGTCCCCTATAGTAGTCCCAATAACCCATTCCCCCATTCCCTGCTAAGAACCAGTCAGTCTTTTTTCATGAAAGTGGCTCCACTCCGGCGCAGACGATCCACCAGCGGCATGTCCCCGAGCACGCGCGCCGCGCCCGGCTCTGCCTCCTTGGGTTGTCGTAGGGTGTAGGGTGTAGGGCTTTAGGGGTTTA